AAAAACAATTAAATAATTTTGGCCCAAATAATTTAAAACAACCCAAATTAAAACCGAATCAATTAAAACTGAGAGGACGGGATCAAGCCAGCCCAGCTAGATGGAATAAGTGTGTTTTTAGGGCCTGACGAAAAGTCCGGAGGTCTGATATCGTGCGTAACTCAGGGGGTAGGTCGTTCCAGAGGGCTGGTGCCACCACAGAGAAGGCTCTCCCCCTGGGGGTCGCCAGCCAGCACTGTCTGGCTGACGGCACCCTGAGGAGGCCCTCTCTGTGCGAGCGAACCGGCCGGTGGGAGGCTATTGGCGGCAGAAGGCGGTCTCGCAAATACCCCAGCCCTAAGCCATGGAGCGCTTTAAAGGTGATCACCAACACCTTGAAGCGCACCCGGAAGTCCACCGGAAGCCACTGCAGCTCGCGCAGGAGAGGTGATAACATTCCGAAAAGTAAACAAAATGGCATCGTTTTTGGTATACGAGGACAAACTGTCAAAAGGAATGTCAGGTTGAGAAATGGGTCAGATCTGGCTTGGGGCTGTTGTTTAAAAAAAAAACAAAAAAACCCTGTCTCCTCCAGTATGTCTCTCCTTCTCTTCTGTCTCTTCCAGTCTATTATTGGGCTTGCAAATTCTTTACATTTTCAACTATTAGGGTTGTGTCATCAATGTAGAGACGTCTGGCAATGTAGAGCCAAATATTGATGTTTCTTCCGGTGGTTTTAAAGCCAAACTCATCTTCTTCCAATCCAGCATCCTTGCTTATAGCATCCTGATATCCAGATAGCTCAGAAAGAGGACCTGAAAATAATCAAAACTAAAGAATTTAGAGAATCTTAGGAGTTGGAAGGGACTTGGGAAGTTTTCTAGTCCAACCCCTTGGGATGTTAAAATCCCTTCCTAACCCTTTCTTGTGGTTACTTGGTTGTATAGAAAGTTAGCACCCACCCCTCTCTTAGAAGAATGAAATATTTTAGGAAATATTTAAAAAGGCAGAATGTTACATTTCCCCCAAAAGAGAAATAGAAGTCTTAAGGGAGACAGAAACTCAGAGCCCCAGCTCCCTGCCCCCAGCAGATATTTGGTGCCCATTGAGAAGGACTGGGCCAGCCTATTTACAAAAAATCTTCAGCTCTAGGGTGATGGGATTAAGACATGACCCTCCAGGACATCATAGGATTAACTAGCAGCAGGACTCACTGCATTGCAAAATCACCAGGGGACATTGCATCAGCCTCCAGGCTTCAACCAAACTTGATTCAGACAAACATGACCCCACATGGCCCCACGGGAGTCTGACTACAGCCAATAGAATACATTTCTTGCACAGGAACAGGAAGCTCAAGGGCAAGGCCCAAGAGAAGGTATAAATATCCCTGACACTCCACTCCATGTGGTCAGCTGCACCAGGACCAGAGGTGGTATTCAGCCGGTTCGCACCAGTTCACGTGAACCATTGGCAGAAATTTGGCCAAGGTTGCCAAACCAGTAGCGATGGCCACCTGGCCATTCCCCTGAACCGGTCCCCTGGTTGCCGCTCAGTCGCCCCGCCCGCACACCCACTTAGCACTTCTAGGTGTATTTCAAGATATCTTTCAAGATATCCTTCAAGATATCCAACTTCATGTCACTAATAGAATAGGAAATAATCACCTGGCTTCTACATTCTGAAACTTCTAGGTTACACTGTATTAAGTTAAGTTCTGAACTTAACTTCCAAAAACCAAAGCTTTGATGTACAATAATGAATAAGCAAGAACTGATGGCTATTTCTGGGGACCAGATTGCATGGAGAAACAGCACCATGAAGTTGATTGTTGCTCCAAGAGCCTTGGTGGTGCAGCGGACTAAGTGCTGTTATGTAGCACTTAGCTGCCAGCTGCCTGCAATTAGTGCGAGTTCAAATGTCACCAGGCTCATGGTTGACTCAGCCTTCCATCCTTCCGAGGTAGGTAAATTGAGGACCCGGATTGTGGGGGCAATAAGCTGACTTTGTATAAACACTGCTTATTGGGGAGCCAAAAGCCCTAATAAGCAGGTATATACAAAAGAATGAAGGCTATTGCTATAAGTGCATTGTAAGCCGCCCTGAGTCTTCGGAGAAGGGCGGCATATAAATTGAACTAATAAATAAATAAATAAATAAACAGCCAATAGTAACATGTCAGAGGTAACTAGGTCACAAATGAAGGCAAATAGATCAATCCCATGATAATGGGCCTGTAGTACAGTGGACTAAAGCACTGTAATTAACATCTGCTGCTTGCATTTACTGCAAGTTCAAATCTCACCAGGCTCAAGGTTGACTCAGCCTTCCATCCTTTCAAAGGTAGGTAAAATGAGGACCCAGATTGTGGGGGCAATAAGCTGACTTTGTATAAATATACAAAAGGATGAAGGCTATTGCTTAACGCATTGTAAGCCGCCCTGAGTCTCCGGAGAAGGGCGGCATATAAATTAAAGCAATAATAATAATAATAATAATAATAATAATAATAATAATAATAATAATAATAATAATAATAATAATAATAATAATGTTACAGGATCCAGTGACTGAAGGGACTGAAGCCTGGGAAATGGGCCCCTTGTCAATCAACAGGAGTGCTGATTTACCACCAGCTTACTAGGCACATAAGAACCGAGGACTTGGCAGCACAAGGAAACAATAGCCAACGACTTAGTGATTGGCCATCAATACCCCAATCAACAGCTGGAGGGGCGGACAAAGAGAACCAGGCACTACATAAATACTATATATAGAATAGCTCAAAGCACACTTTCCGGTACAGAGGCATTCCCTGAGGATAGGTTCCAGCACGAGTCCAAAAACTCAGAAGACTTAACATTTGGTCCCAGTGACCAACCCAGATTAGATCCTGGAACTAGGTCAGATCAATTGCAGGTGGATTCAGAAGAGCTGGAAGAAGATAAGCTGGCATTGTGAAACAGCCCATGTACCTGTCCTATTGCTTCCAATAGTATCTCAGAAGTCCAAGTGATGTTTCATTATTGACCAAGTGTATAATTCTTCTCGCTGTATTTCAGGCCAACCTCGGGGACCTGAGGCTTTAAATAGCATTTCCTGCTGAGTCATTCAACTGACAATCCACATCTGTGTTTTTCTTTTTTTGAACAAAGAAAATTCGCTGGTAAATAAAAATACTTCAAAGTAAAGGATGTTCGGTTTATCCCAGATGGAACCATTATAAACCTAGCCTCCAGACAATAAAAAGGGGGAAAGAATATTTTTTGTGCTTTGATCAAGTATATTTTAGTGTGTGATGAACAGTCTGAGCCTCAGGGCTACACTTGCCTCTGAATTATATTACGCTGCAGTTATTTCGGTTACTATTTATCACAAAAAATGGACGAGTTCTATGACTGTGGACAGAGGAAATGGATATTGTCTTTTGGGAAGTGGAAATACTACTCTGTATCTTTTGTGAATGTGGCAGATACTCAACCACAGGCAAATCTTTGGTCTGGAATTGTAAGTCAGACATAACTGGAGTCAGGTGCAAGAAACCAGAACAACACTATGAACTAATCATAGCAGGGGTGGGATCCTACCGGTGCCCAGAGAGAGAAATATCTGCCTCTACCTAGGATCGAACTCACAGCCTCCTGATTGTGAGGCGAGAGCTCCACCTTTAGGCCACCACACCACTCCTTTAAATGAGATGTGACGATCTCGAAATACCTTGAGATCATCAAATCTCAAGAGCTCTGTGTATTTTTTTCTTCCCATTCATCAAAATGATACTAGAACATGAGTGAAAAGCTGAGGGCACTGGACAGACCTCCAGAAACTTGGAAACTAAAGTGACAAGTAACGAACGTCAACTTTTCCACTCTTTTACAGGTGGTCCTTGATTTACAACCGTTTGTTTAGTGACCGTTCAAAGTTACAATAGCACTTTTTAAAAAATGACTTACGCTTTTCACACTTACGACTGCAGCATCCACGTGAACAAAATTAGAATGCTTGGCAAACAGCATGTACCCTGTTTCCCCGAAAATAAGACATCCCCTGATAATAAACCCAGTCGGGCTTTTGAGCGCATGCGCTAAAATAAGCCCCCCCTGAAAATAAGCCCTCCCCAAAAATATTTAAACGCATGCACTGCCGGTCCCCGCCATTTCCTCTGGTTTCCTCCACGTGCCCTAAAATAATAAGACCTCCCCAAAAATAAGGCCAAGCGCTTATTTCGGGGTTCATAAAAAATGACACAGGGTCTTATTTTCGGGGAAACACGATATTTATGACGGTTGCAGTGTCCCAGGGTCATGTGATCATCACCTTTTGTGACTTTTGGCAAGCAAAGTCAATGGGGAAGCCAGATTCACTTAACAACGGTGTTACTAACTTAACTGCAGTGATTCACTTAACAACTTGGCAAGGAAGGTCGTAAAATCTCGCCAAGGCTCAAGGTTGACTCAGCCTTCCATCCTTTCTAAGGTAGGTGAAATGAGGACCCAGTTTGTGGGGGCAATAAGCTGACTTTGTATAAATATACAAAAGGATGAAGGCTATTGCCGAGCACATTGTAAGCCGCCCTGAGTCTTCGGAGAAGGGCGGCATATAAATCAAATTAAAAAAAAAAAAAAAGGGGCAAAACCCATTTAACTATTTTGCTTAGCAATGGAAATTTTGGACTCAGTTGTAGTTGAGACTGGTACAGAGGTGGTATTCAGCCCGTTTGGACCAGTTCAAGCGAACCGGTAACGGAAATTGCAGGTGGGTCCGTCCCCCCGCCCCGGCTTTATGCTGTCATATTTAGGCACGTTTTTGAGGCTGGGCGCATGGATGGAAGGCACGCACGTGAGCGAAGCGCGTGCGTGGAAGGCTGGGCACATGTGTGGAGGTGGGCGCTCGCTCGCTCACATTTTCGGTGCTGGGCGAACTGGTAGGTAAATTACGTGAATCCCACTTCTGGATCGGTACTATAAAGTAGGAATGTATCTCCAAGAAAGAAAGGAAGGAAGGAAGGAAGGAAGGAAAAGTCCACAAAAACTGTGTGTTTTTAATTGAAAACTGGTTTTAACGACCAATTTAGCAAATTTGGGCAATTACAAACCTGTACACTTTTTTGTTTCTTTTTTGTTTCTTTTTTTAATAGCAAAATAACAAGACAATACTGCCAACAGGAAAATGAACAACTGATGTGTTAGGCAATAGGGGACAAGATCCATTTCATTTCTGGAGATCATCTTCCCTTTTGCATAAGTTTGTTATACAGGGTGAAATAATGGGAGAAACCTTTTTTTTTTTAAGGCCAACAGAAATGTCATTAAAAAAACGTGATTGCATTTTGCACAAAAAACCATTAAAAAAAAAAAACAATAACCAGGAAGCAGTTTCATAGAAACAGAAGTTAACCGAAAACAGCTGATCCAAATAAAAACTGAAGTCCCCTTCAGCAACTAAGACGTGTTTTTTCGTTTTATAAGAAATGTTTTATATGATTAACCTGACACGGATGACTTTACACAAATGAACACAAGTAACAAAAATGAAAAGCGAACCTGATTGGCATTGAATATCTACAAAAGCCCAGTAATTTCAAAATTATTATGTACATTATTTTATAAACCTTTTAACACCAAAAACGTACATCTTTTACAAACCAGCCTGCTTGCAACAGGTAAAATTTACACACAATTATCTTTTCTTATACAGTGCTTCAAGGAGAACTTAAGATTGGTTCCCCCCCCCCCAAATAAATTTCCTGAAAAAGCAGTTATCCTGGGTTTGAAAAATTGTTCTGGTAAGAATTCAATGATATGCTTAAGCTATGTTAAGTGAGGCCTTGAATTCCCACGATCCAGTTCAATTATTTTCTTTAACACTGCCAGTGGTGAAGTTTGGTTATGGCCTGTAATACATTTGTAAATTATTGCTCTTTAAAAAAAAAAAAAAGATGAAACGGTTACTTACATCCCACTGCCTCTCCTTTTCTCTCTAAATGAAAAAAAAAAATAAAATAAAAATGTCCAGTGCTCTTCTGTTTGGTGCATAGCTTTGAAATAATGATCTTTCATGGATAAACTTACTATGGATTTTACTACTGGAGAGATGCAATGAGCAAAGAAAGGAAACTGCCAAAATCCAATGTTTGCATAATCGTGAAACAAATCTTTTCCCCCACTCCCAATTATATGGAATGAATTTGGAAGATGCAGTTCAGCTAAACCGCCCCATCAAAATTTTGGGAAGATTTCTGTTCTCTGTGGCAATATCGAAATTATTGACCTTTAGCTTGTGAAAGACACACTTAATAAAAGCAGTAAATTAATATTAAACCGCTTTGCTATCAACATTAGAATGTGGGAGTCGAGAGTTTCCCTCATTTTGTATGCAACTGCAATGACAGGTCCTACCTGTGTGTACCAAGTACTTACATAACTAATACTGCCTCTGGGCAGTACTACTTCAAGCGTGATATGTCTAACGTGATATAGACATTCTTACCATCTCGTAAATAGGAAGCAAAGAGAAAATGCTGAGTCTGGACCTTTTGGCTTGAGATATTTAGCTTTATCATGTGGAATTATTATTATTATTTTTAGGAAAACACTTATTCCTGTGAACTTCAGCCTGCCATCTTGTCTACTACCGGTAGGAGGAATAAGACCCTTTTGCATAGAACAAAACCTGAGTCATATCAAAATCAATGGAGCTGCCCATGGCTGCCAGGGTGCCAGTAGAGCATAGGGACATCAAGAAAAATTCAAGATGGTGGATGCTTCTATGAGACTGAAGCGGCCATCTTTAATTTCCTTATTAACTCACCAAAAACTACACATCATTCAGATAGTTCTGAAATGTCCCATTTCTGATTGTTGTTGGGAGAGGAGATATTTGTCTTAAATCTCTTCCAAATTAAACCAAATATGTATTCCCCGAAAAGCATCCGACTGGAAAAAACAAAATTAAAATTGGCCGCACGGCTCTTTTCAAACCGTCCCACTTTATGATATGCTGAACTGGTTTATGTGTAAGAGCAATCAGAAATACGTATTTCCCCATCTTTGAATCACTGAATCGGTTGTAATTATCTATGCATAGAGTGGCTGAGGGCAGACGGTTTGAAGCCCCAGTTGGCTTCAATGCCACTTAATCATGTACGGCTTTACTTACTACTAATCTTTTATCCCATGTCATCAACACCAATTGACAGAGGAGTTGCTGTTGGGATAAAGACAGGAAAAATCAGGGTGATTCATGGTAAAAAGAAAGTAAGGAGAAAAAAACAACAACATGCCGGCAGAGAAAGTGTGCATGTCTACTAATTGTGCTGAATTGCGGATGCTACAAACATCTGGAGCCTGGCCAATGTATTTAGCTCACTTGTCTAAGATGCTTTTTACCTATGCGAAGCTAAAATTTAATAGCACATTACAAGAGAATCTGAAAGTAAACCCCGTGGAATGTATAAATGGGCAATTCATTCTGAGATTAGATAGCAATGCAGATTATGCTCTGGAATAAGTGGGACAATTACATTGGGGGCAGTGAGCAGCCAGCTGCTGGAAGAGAGGTGGGGAAAGGAAGAAGAAGGAAGTGATGACTGCATAGGATCTGGCAAGATAAGAAGAGTCTAATATTTCGGGGTTTCTAGAACACACATGCAAGTTATCTAGAAGTCAAAAACACCCCTTTACTTTGAACTATCAAAGGTTTTGAGTTTATTCTTTTTACGGAAGACTACTAGAAAGTAGGGGGGAAAAGATATCTCACTTAAGTTCAGGTATAGTAGTAAATGTCCCCCCCCAAAAAAACAAGAGAGCATTATTTGAAAATTCCTTTTAAAAGTGAGGAAGAATTACTTCATAATGACTTTGTGTGTGTGTGTGTGTGTGTGTGTGTGTTTGTGTGTGTGCATGTCTGTGTGGGGACAAATAAGTGCAACCGAACAATAGTCCAGAATTCAAATGTGTAGTAACTTTGGTATCCATTCAAAGCAACCCCAATGTATAGAATAGCTATGAGCATGAGCAATTGGAGGAGATGTTGATTATGTCAACTCTTCTGTGTGTCTATGTATGTGTGTGCGCACAGACGCACACACACACACAACACTCATTCATGGTCATGAGAAGGTCAACCCACATATCAGCTAGTTTCTCTCTTGACTAAGCTCATTCAATTTCATACATTAGCATCCTCACCATAACACAAGGGCCAGGTACCATGTTTCCTTCATCCCAAAGCATTTCGAAAAAGGGTTCATAAAAGGCTGAAGAAGGGTTAACAAAAACCATCGTTTTATAAAATGCGTTATAAAAGAATGTCTACCATATTTGGAAGCGAAGCCCAAGAGGGGGAAAAAAAATCACTGAACAGGAAGCACACGTTAAGTTAGTACGATTCAGGATATTCATACCAGCAGTGTATTGTCCTGGCTCGAAAAATAATTTTTTACACACATTTTTCTAACCAGACCATTTCTTATAACATAACCCTTAGTTACAATATTCTTATACCCTGAAACGGGAGTTGTAATCAACAGATTCATTCTATTTCCAACATAAAATTTAGACTTACAACGGGAGTTGTAATCAACAGATTCATTCAACTTCCAACATAAAATTTAGATAACCTTTGTAAAATAAAGCTGCTCCCCTTGCTTATTGCATGGCATTTGACTGAACTACTTGGCTTGATACGCTCTAAATAACCGGTATCCTCCGAGGCTGAAATAAGTGCTGATTAGCATGAGGACACCAGAAATATTTAATTTATCCAGCCAAGTAAAAAAACACAAAATTTGTCACTTGGTGTAAAGAATTTTTAGGAAATCTATCTCTGTTGGGATGGAAGCACTCATTCAACATTGTACTGATAAAACAAAAACAAGATATGATTGAGATGTGTGGTTTGCGAAAGTCAAGAAGGCAACCTGTTGTGAGGTAATCAAAGCTACATCTTTCATGTGCCGTTATGTGCAACACACGCATGAAAAATGAATGAGCCTTAAGTTACATGGTTGCAGCCCCCATCTTGACTTTTTCGGACCCCCCCCCCTCCTCCCACCCGCACAGACGAATCCCACGAAAGACCTGCGGGGACATCCGTAAACCATAATTCCCTTCCACCAATAATCATTTATTTTTTCCTTTCAGTTGCTGGTAGGTTGGCATTTTCTTCTCCTGGCATTTTCTTCCATGCGAAATGGAAGCTGGAATTCCAGTGAGACAAAGAATGTGGCAACAGTGTTCAAAATATGCAAAAAAGATCATCTGGCTGGGGGTTTCTTTTTTTTTTTTTTTCACCCCTAAAATACATGGTGGCGATGGAGTCAACAGCTACATTGGCACTCTTTAAAGGTAAAAGGGAAAGGACTACCTATGGATATTACTCGGCTAGTCATTACCAACTATAGGGTAAATGGTAAATTTAAAAATAAATGGGGGAAAAAAATGCCGTCGATGTATCCTAAGAATCGAGGCTCAGAAGAGGACAGGGAACCCAACAAATAAATAAATAAACAACCAACCAACCCATCCACCAGGGCCATTCCATTTTTCTACTCCTGACCCACCCAAGGTTGCAGCGTCAGTCCTGAATCAAGATCAGGGCAGGGGTGGGATTCTACCGGTTCGGACCGGTTCGGGTGAACCGGTTCGCTCTGACGATCAGGTGGGCCCGCCCGCCCGCCCCTGCGTTTTACTGACTTGTATCTTCTCAGCTGATTCACGTGGCAGAGCAGATTGCTGCACCTCAGCTGTGTTACTCCCCAGCAGTAACGCGGAAGGTAAATTTTCGTAAAACTGTGCACCCCGCAAAGCACACGATCACCGAACCGGTTGTTAAACCGGCAGGATCCCACCACTGGGTCAGGGTATATGGTATTTAAAGATGAATGAAATCTCTAGGTATTAAATTTCACGTTGACACACTGTTGTTTATATGAGAGCCAACAAGACTGATGGCTCAGTGGCATACATTGTTGGATTAAGGAGACCATCTTAATACCTACGATTTGATTCATCATGATGGCCAAATAACTCTTAATTCCCTGTTTCTTTTAGAATTAGAGCTGTAGGCATGAGTTAGAACCACTCCCAATTGGACATCCTCTTGATGTCTTGGATTACAACACCCATTATTCGTAGACTGAATGACCAAGAAGCATGCTGATCACCAATTATGGCAAGTGCAACTTAATACTCTGGGAAAGTATCAAGCTGAGGACGATTGGCTTATGCTGTGTTTATGAGCGAGTGCATTCAACGCAATCGGCCAACATATGGGGCAATGTAGAAATACTACGTTTAATGGACCAGCAATTCTGAATGAACTGATTTAGAAAGGTTTTAGGGTGGGGAATTACCAGCTATCCTTTCCTTTATTGATTAACTGATCTAGGGTTTAAAATGGTTTAAAACGCAATGATGCAAAATGGAAGGGTTGGTCTGCCATCAAACCATTTTCCGCCAGGAAATCTTTCTTTTGGCAATAAGCAGTAAATGCTAACTCCAAAGACTAATTAATGGATGAAACCTTGGGTACCGATTTTCCAAGACAACCTGCAGTTTTCACCCTGTAATATGCATGCACAACATCAATCTTCTTGGTGGGCTGAAAATGATTGGATCTCAACCCTGCACCAGATGTAGAACACTTACGACGCAAAAGAGAAGAGTTGTTGAGTTATGCTATGAACGGGACCAAACGACAGCAACGAAGTCCATGAACAAGAGCTCCTTCATACTTGAGTCTGCTGATGGATCTCCACAAAAGGAATGTGAATCTGATGGTGATCGAGAGAGAAGTCCTCGATGCTTTCATAATCGCTCATGGCAATCTCAGAGTCATCAAAACCACAGCCCATCGAAACATCGGACGAGGATGCGTCCAGAGAATTGTGTAAAGACAAGGGTTTCTTGGCCACACTGTTGCCTGTATTTGGTCCTGGGCCAACGCCAAAAGTACTAAATTCGTTCCCAGTCTGAGTTCCACCGTTGTCCATCTCGTTGGGGAATTGATGAGGAGGGAGGTATTGGCTCGGGTGAAACTGTGGCCGCCTCTGGCAGTCTGGGCTCAGCGTGCTGGCCATGGAGATTGGCTGGGAGGGTGGAAGGGCTTCGTAGTGGTCTGGGTAATCCTCTGGGAGGGGAGGGGGCAATTGGTCTTGGTTTAAAAACTCCTCCTCATGCGGTGGAGGATAGTCACTATCAATATCGTAACCACCAAGGTAGTAATCCGTCTCGAGCTCCCTGGTGCTCCCGTGATGAGCTGAGCTGCCATCGGCTGCCTCATAATGGGGCACCTCCTCAATGTCAGATAAACGCGCACTCGGCATCCAGTCAGAAGTGTCCCAATGATAAGCTGTAGAGGGAAACAAACACTACGTTGGAAAAAAAAACCATGGCATAATCTTTAAGGGAAATGTAACAAGTCCCACATGCATAGGAGACCTTATGCCAGGAGTGTCAAACTCGATTTCATTGAGGGCCGCATCAGGGTTGTGTTTGACTTGGGGGGGCTGGGCTTGACATCACTAATGTTGGGGGGCACTTGTAGTGGCCAGAGCACTGTAGAGGTCCCGAGCTCTGTTTTCAGCTGCGGCGGCCTCCTGCAACCATCTGCCAGCGAAAGCATGCCCTTCCCGAGCTCCGTTTTTGCTGGCAGAGGCACTGTCAGGGCCAGTCCTTCACTGTTTCCAGGGTGGTCCCGTGGACCAGATCTAAGCACCTCATGGGCCAGATCCAGCCCACAGGCCTTGAGTTTGACACCCCTGCCTTATGCAATGAAGTTGCTTAAGCAAATAATCAGCATGCATCTTAATTTTTTTTATTTTTGGGTTTCTGTGAAACATCAGCCAAGCATGCTTTGGCCCATGTGAAGGGAAGCAACCTAATGTCGCAGCAGTAACTGACACAACGCCATCTCTAAAGTAAAGAAAATTTTTAAAAAAATCAAAATCAAGGCAAAGGAAGCAAGAAATCAGACTTGCTGAACGTGTAAAACTGCTCGCGGAAATGCAGGCAATTGGTGATTTAGGTAGAGAAGCGTATAAAACACAGACATTAGAAAAGTCAACATGCTCTTGCAATTGTGTTCATTTCCAAGCTCTTGGGAAAAGGGGGAAAAAAATTACACAGGCAAACGAAGTAACAGGCAGAAAAGTAAAATAATAATAATAATAATAATAATAATAATAATAATAATAATAATAAATAATATAATAATAATAATAATAATAATAATAATAATAATAATAATAATAATAGAACTAGGAAAACCCTGAAATGAAAAGGAACGCCATTCCCATGGTTTTCTGCAGGACCAAAATCTATCTCGTAACATGCTGTAACATGCACAATCTAGATAAAAAATAAAGCCCAAGTCAGTGAGGCCAAATAAAGTGTATTAGTAGCATTTCAAAACTCCCATCAAGGCCACCCTTTTCCAACCATTACAGCAGGCAGATGCAAAGTCACCTCTATTGCAGTTCTGTCCTTCATCCATACCAGAGACTGTTAAATATAAAGTGAAGAAACAAAAAAACAAACACTGGAAATTCTCAAATCTGCAACCAGCAGAGTTAAACAGAGCACCGCAACACGTCTTTTAACACCATGCTATATGCTTCTTTAAATGCGGCTGATGTAAAATATGATTAAAAAGTACTTTTAAGCCATGCTTCAATGAAAGGTTAAAACGTTATTCTGCTTTTCGCTTAATCAAACCTTACGGAGGCACAAATGGGAACAGCATTTTACAACCAATGGATAGAATGGATGACTTTTAATTATCTGAAGCAGACATGCAAAACTGACTTTGGAATTAACACAAAAGTCAATACACTTTTTTTGGGGTTTTAAAAAAAGACTGTGATGTATTTCTTTCTTGCTCACTGTGAAACAGAAAAAAAAAAATTAAGAATCTACCATGTTCAGGGCCGGTTCAAACAAATCTGGGCCCAAGTACGCTCAGATACCACGGTGAGGGGCACGGTATAACAACCTGAACAGAACAGAATAAAAAAGCAGTCAATTGGGCCACTAGAACCACATAGCACAGAATCCGTCTCTATCTTTCCATCTGGGAAATGGGAAACTGGCTAAGAAGGGGCAAAGGAAGCTTTCTCTGCTCTGACTTTCATTCCCCCATTTCAAGTAATCTCCTTGGTGGAGCTCTTGCCTCACAACCATGAGGCTGTGAGTTCGATCCTAGGTAGAGGCAGATATTTCTCTCTCTGGGCACAATGAGAATATAGCTGTTTGGATTTTGGCATGTTCCACAGAGCCCTGCGGGATGCGTCGAATCGCTGCAACGTCAGCCACGCTGAACAAAACTCCGAATTGGCGACAGGAAGGGCATTCGGCCATTAAAATGCTCTGCCAGCTCAATTCAGTTGCCCAGACTCCACCCCACAAGGGATTATGGGGTCGTTAAAAGATGATGAATGATTTCAAGTTATCTCCTTAATCTTCTCACTTGGTACTGAGAACATCAAAGTTAGGAAAATATGGGTTACCATGGGGGTATTAATGCAAAATTAATGGACAACCTCCTCTGTGTGGATGGATGCAGAATCTTCTGTTGCAACAAACTGGGACTGACACACCAATTTTCAGATGCCCTTTAAGGTCAAAACAATGGACAATTTGGTTGGTCAACCACACAGAAGGGGCTGCAGAAACGGGGGGCTTGGAGGCCACAAGTTGTGTGTTCCCTGGCCTATGGAATATGTGGTCTCCAAGCTTTCAAAATTGACCTATTCCAAGGCACAATAAGAAATGGCAAAACTTTTTCTATACTGTAGGGATTATCTGAACTACGACCTACTCTGCAAACATTTAGTAGCCTGTGCTGCAGGCATGTTAAGTGTATTCTACTACCCAGCTATTAAGTTGTCATTAAAGGAACAGAAGAAGTGGCAGGTAATAACAGACACTGAAAATTCAAGTGAGGAAAATAATGTATCGAATAGGATCCTGGTTATTCTGATGAAATAGGGTTTTCCTGCTTTTAAATATAAGCCTAGAGACATGTTACAAAGACATCAGGTTAATGTTGAGAAAGAATATAAGTCTTTCTCTCAGAAATGCAAATCATGTGATTGCTGTGCAACGGGTTAGTGAAACACAAGATCTCGGTGCAATCTTAACTTAACACTGAAGTGGTACATATACACACCCGGAGGAGACCACAGAGTTGGTCTCCTCCGGGTCCCGTCAGCTAAACAATGCCGGCTGGTGGGCCCACGGGGGAGGGCCTTCTCTGTGGCTGCCCCAGCTCTCTGGAACCAGTTACCTCCTGAGATCTGGACTACCCCCACCCTATTGGCCTTCCGGAAAGCGGTGAAGGCCTGGCTTTTCCGGCAGGCCTGGGGCCGTTGATCTCGCTGTTCAATCTTGCGAGATCCGGCCATGGATGGTGTGCATGTGTTTTTAATGTTTTTAAAATGCTTTTATAATGTTTTATTTTTTTTAAAAAAAATTTATGTTCACTGTTTGTATTATTTCTGTTGTAAGCCGCCTAGAGTCCCTTGGGAGTTGTGCGGCAAAGAAATATGATTAATTAAATTAAATATTTATCTACTCGCATTTGCATGCTTTCGAACTGCTAGGTGGGCAGGAGCTGGAGCAAGTAACGGGAGTTCACCCTATCGTGCAGCACTCGGGTCTCGAACCCGGTCTGTCAGCTTTCCGGGTGATCAGCTCAGCGTCTTATTCTCTATGGCCATGCCTGAAATTGTGCAAGAAGGTACTCAGTGTAGCAAGGTCCACATTGCACGGTTGCATGGGTGGCTATTGTGGAAGAGTTGCAAATAGTGTGGTAAGTATTGAAAACTTGCAAGACCACAGCATGACTTTATTTTTTGGGAGGGGGGAGGGGAAGCAGTCTGCAGGGTTGGGTTGGATTGGATAAATGTAATTTTTTTTCCCAAGCATTTTCTGAACACACTGTACGTTTTATGGCGATAAATAAACTAGGCTAGCAGAAGGAAAAGATTTTCTCTCCTACCAGTGGTTACAGCTCAGGTAGCGCTGTCTGAACCGGCCCTGACTATACAAAAACAAAACAAAAGCACATATTCAAACGTTCTGTTGATCAGGTGCAAGGAGCTTTTGTGTGTCACTCGTTGCAGTGTGGTTGTCCCCAACCTGGTACTCTCTAGATGTGTAGGAAGGGTAATTTTTTTTTTAGTTTGAGGCCATGCCAACGTGGACTTTGGAGAGTTTTAGAGGCTCACACCATCTGAAAGATGCCAGGTTGGGCAAGGCACGGTTATTTTTACACAACACAGCAGAACTCCACTAACCTCTTAACTTGCCGGCTCTGCAAGATACAACAACTCACTTTCCCTTCCTGGGTTGAAGCAAAAATCCCACAAGTAAGGTCATATACATTTCTGAATGGAAATATTCATTTGTTTGGTTGCTTTGGCTACTTCCAAGTACTGTTAAACTTTTCACATCAGTGCCACTAAAGTGTTGCAGCCCGTCGGCTGCCAGTCACTCCAGCAGCCGAATCAGAGGAGGACGAGGAAGTGTGGGAGTCAAGGTTGTTGTGATCGCGGCAGCCCGGCAACTGGGACGCCGCCAGCGGATTGGCTAGAGGGGTGTGGTTAACACGCACGGGAGAGTTACTGTGTTCTTATTTTGCCGCTGGAGAGATCAGTGAAATCATTTGCTTCCAGGAAGCATTCGAATCTCTCCATATAGGCATCCCATGTCTCTGCGAGGGCATCATAGGGAGCAAATGTTGGTGGGGCCATTTTAGTCTCTCTATAGGGTCTCAGCAGGGGTTATATCCCACCTTCGTCGCCAGTATTCTGTTCTTAGCTGAGATTAATGAGGCGGGGGTTGCATAACAAGAATGGTTTATTTACCTCAACAGCAACGATACGAACAGGCAGAACAGAACAGCAACTTCAGCACTGACAGCTCTTTTATACCCCGAGCTGTCAGTGAGCTAACCAATAAGAACGCAGTAACTCTCCCGTGCATGTTAACCACACCCCTCTAGCCAATCCGCTGGTGGCGTCCCAGTTGCCGGGCTGCCGCGATCACAACAAAGGTCAGCATCAAGGGAACCTGAGAGCTCTGAGGGGGGAGAAGGAATGGAGCTGACAGAGAGAGAGAGACAGAGGCAGAGCCTGGGCCATCTGTCAGCCCTCAGATGGAGAGTCAACAGTCCCCAGGTCTGGAGGTGGATGATGAAGAAGAGGAGGAACAGCTGGATGCACAGAAGGCAGAGGAGAGGAGAGCAGTGGAAATCTATGGGCTGGTCCTTGGGATGGAAGAGCCACCGCTGCTAGCAAAGCCCCCCGCCCCCTAGCTCTGGGGATAAATGGCAGGGGGCGTGTTTGGGAGCTGGATCAGAACATAAAGTCATTCCAAACAATAGCCTTTTGTGGAGCATCTGGATAGAGATTTGCCAATTATTTTTCAGGTATACTAAATATGGGGAATGTTTGGAATTTCAGTTCTCTCGTTCCCTAATTCTGGTGATGATGGTTAGGAATTTAGTTTCAAAATATTAAGGAAGGAACCAGGCTAGAAAAGGCTGCTCTTCAGATCAAGATATTCCCATGCTTTCAAACATTGCGTGTCAGAAATTTATTTACTCCCTTCACTTCGTTTTTTTTCTGACTTATGTGCGCTCAACTAAAAATGGTAAAAGAGAGAATAAAGTAGGCAGGTTTTATAGACAATAGGTTTTATAAATCTGATTAACTAAGTCAGCTCAGTGGGTTTTATAAGATTTTATGTCTATAATTTTGCATCTACCTGTTAATTTTAAATCTACCTGTTGATCCATTCATTCATACGTACATCAATATTTTGCTGATTTCTCCCTCCTTCCATCTTCTTGCCCTGATCACTCACTTTAATAAAGTTCTGTTCTGCTTTATTGTAATTCTTCCTGTTGGTATAATGGCAATTAGGAAGCAAAGATGCAGAAAGAATAGGCAAAGTGGGATCCATAAAATCATAGAGCTGGAAAAGATCATTTGCACCATCAAGGCAATCCTTGCTCAATGCGTGAACTTAAATCAAAGCATCCCTGAAACCTATCAATCCTTCCTTTGAAAGTTACCAATGATAAAGAGCAAACTTGGGCATTTTACAGCTCTGGAGCTATATTCACCCCTTTGGTTGTCCGTATCCAAATGTAGGAGATGACCAAGCAGAGTCCAATGAAGAAGGGGTCAAACGCCTCATCAGTCTTGAGTCCTTTCATGCCCACAAGAGATCTAAGTCCTGCCCATCTTGAATTCCATTGACTCTTATCTACTGCCAATTTGCTTTGACTGTTAGTAGTTCAGATTCTTGTAGAGAGCTTTAGCGTATAGTAAACCTACATATTTATTTGAACTGCCTGGACTCCTGATTTCCTGTACCTGATACCAGTTCATGGTGAGGTCAATAGGAAATTAGAAATCAAATGTAAATAAGTGTACACCATGCACGCAATACAGCTGCGTTGCTTTTATTTTGAAGGTGACTCCTAGTTATTTTTC